TCAAAACGCGTAGGGATTTTTATCAGAAAACCGTAGGGTGAAAATCAAGAAAATGTTTTCTGGGAGGGAGCTCAACCAGGGAGAGAGAGGTACCAAACAATTGAGGTTTAGCGAGAGAGAGAGAGACAAACCGTGCAGGCAAGAGAGAGAAAGAGGCCTGAGAGTGTTAAAGAACGAGGATTGTAATAAAGGATTTATAGAGAGAAACCGATTTAGAGAGAGAAACCTGAGACTGGCGTATCTCCGGTGGATTGGACGGCTGAGATTGAGTGTTGGCTCTGTACTTCCTTCCTCCGCCGTCGGATAGAGAGACCGCCGCGTTGGAGGAGATAGAGTCGTGGTCGGCGCTTTCTCTCTCTCTCTCTAAGAAGAGGACGGAAACGCTGTCCTTTGTAATTTTGGTGGAATATATCCTCGATCATCTCCTCAAATATCATTCTTTTCCCTTCCCAAACGGCCAAAAGGGAAGTTAATGTCAATTTTTCAGTTGTCATATTTTTGCCTTTCCTTTAATTCTATTTAAAATGAACTTAATTAAATTCGGAGTCCCATCAAATCTGTTACAGTTGTTACCTAATTAATGCCCTTTATTTCATCAACTGTATTATTGAAAGGGTGCGATTTGTATAGAGCCTAGGCTCTAAACATCAAATTACAGCCTACCTTCTTCAAATAGAGTTGAGGAATACGATTTCAATTCTGATAACTTTTGTGATAGCTTTAAAATATATTTTTATCTTTATTTATAAAATTTAAAGTTTTAAAAATAGTGTAGATTGACAAATATATGGAAACTTGAAAATTGACCGTCTAAAAATTGATTACAAAATACGTTATTTTTAAAACTTGAAATCCAATTTTTTTTGTTTCTACTGTCCATGCATCTTGAGGTCGAGGTGATGAATTTGAGGATATTTGGGCATCAAAACAAATCTCTTTTAGTAAAAGTTTTGAGGTAGGATCTAATTTGATTGTGTAAGCTTCAGCTTTATATAAACTTCTCATTAAGTTTCTATAAAGCTAGGCTTTATGAAAACAAATTAAAACCTCATTTAAAATTCTCTTTCGAAAAGCACTTTCGAAGACATAAATATCTACGATGATTTTAAAATCAATTTCTAAGATCGACAATGAAATTTGAAATTAAAAAATAGTACAGGTCTTGTAAATCCATGAGCATTTCATTTTAGGGTGAAATAGACTGTCTATATAATTTGTTACAATGTACACTATTTTTAGCACTTGAAATCTTTTTTTTCACGATCATAATGATCAAGCCGAGATGGTTGATATAAAGGGTTTCTAATATTTGAATTGCAAATTTGAGAGAGTTATAATATGAGGCTTGATAGGGCTTGGAATAAACTTGGTGGGATAACGCCAAACGGGGCGTGATGGATATTTTGGAAACTATTGAGGCTCAGATTCCCCTTGCAGGCAGTGTGGGGCCTCTTGCAGCAATCACGGGGGCATTTTTCAGAAATTTCGGTAAGGGGTAACTACGTAATTTTGCTGGTGGCAGTTAGAACTGCCCGCGTTTTAGTTTTTCCAGCTCGGCGAAAATTCCAGTTTTAAATTTTAGATTTTAAATTTAGAGAGAGAGAGAGAGCTATAAAAAATATCACTTTTTAATGGAGAAGAGGAGAGAGAGTAAGGTCCTGCAGAGTGCTTCCAAAAGAATGCACACGTGTGAAACGGGAGAGGAGCGAGGGAAGACGGAAATGGACAGGCCCCACCAGCTCGGACAGGTCGGGTCCATATGCCGGGTCAAAAATAAATGAAGCAAAAATAAAAGAAAATTAAGAAAATATTGGCTAGGTTGGGCCCACAATAGCCTTAGCTTGGCCCTTGGGCTACAATTGCGTTGGATTCAGACATTGAGCTTGCCAACCCTAGTGAGAGCATAAAGAAATGAGGATGACCTCAACATTAAAAACAGGATGAGGATTTTATAAGGTCCAGGTTTTATGAAAACAAAATAAAGCTTCATTGTAAATCCTCTTCCGGAAGGTACTTTGGGGGACCGAAATCTTTATGGATCTACAATCAATTTCCAATATATACGATAAAATTTTAAATTCCAAAAAAGGAAAAGTTTATATAGAGCCGATGTTCTAAACAATCAAATTTGAACCTACCTCAAAAATTTTATTAGAAGAGGATGTTCTTGATACCCAAATATCTTCAAATTGATCATCTCGAAAATTTCATTACAAAAAAATGGAATGCAAATATTGAAAATAGTGTATTTTGTAACGCATTTTTGAACTGTCAATTTTCAAGATATTATAGATATGTCGATCTACACTATTTTTGAAGCTTTGAACTTCATAAATAGATATGAAAATATATTTTAAAGTTATCACAAAGATTTTCAATATTAAAACTACATTTCTTGACGCTATTTGGAGATAGGCTCTAATTTTATTGTTAAGAGCCTAGGCTCTATACAAACCGCACCCTTCAAAAAATAGTACAATTGCAGTTATATAAACACTTATTTTTAAAGAAAAATAGATGATCTAGATAATTTATTATAATATACACTATTTTTAGCACTTGAAATCCTAAATTGTTTTTACTTACAGTTTTTGTTAAGTAATTAAATAAGGGTTTATTTATTTTGATAGGGCCGTAGCCTTATCAAACCATTTTCCTTAAAAAAAAAAAGAAAAAAACAAATCAAGATGATGATCTCCATTAAAAGAGGAATAATAATAAAAAAAAAACTTTGACTTAAGTACATGGAAATCTTTGTTTGAAGATCTTATATAAAATGGAATAAAAAGGACACTCCAAGTGGGCACTCACCTCAACTGGTCCTTGTCAAAAAAGTCGTCAGCTGTGACGTATTTAGTGAAAATAATTTTTTTAGAGAGAGAGGGATCAATATCTTCAGTTATTGTGGGAAAGAGTAGAGAGACATTAGACTTCATCTCATGTAATATTTAAGCAACAAAAGGAAAGAAACACAAAGATAGAAAATTTCAACATGTTTTATTTGGATATGTCATGGTCCTAGCGTGTTTAACACATGAATTCAACCTTATTTCTCTTTCTTGAATTTGAAAAAAGTCTTCACAATATATCTATTTTCGTGCCTTCCCTATGATTGATTTTCATTC